GTTTATTATTTTCCCAGCGAATGCATATTCATTCCCAAACAGCGTAAAGGGCCCTATTTAACCAGGATTCAAACTTAGTTTTCAAATGAGAACGGGGTCCTGAATCACCGACAAGAATAATTGGGTTAAGGGAATAAGTTGGAAGTCCCTTTGCTCTTACCCCATCCTCCTTCCGGAAGACTTCCTCGGAGAACGTTGCTACTGTTAGCTTGTTTTTAATTAGTTTAAATCCATGGCGATTTTTATTCCGTTTGCGTACCGTGGAATGAGTTTACATGCATTATTAATCACAACAAAAGAGATATCGTATTCAGTTAAAGACAAATATAAAAGTACTAAATAACTTCACTAGTTTTCGTGGTCCGCTTGACCAATTAATATATTTCAATTAATTAAGGTTTTTAGTTGAGATAAAAATGTCAGTCAAGAGCGGGATTCGAACCCACGATCTTCGGCTAGATACGCCGCTGCTCTACCACTTGAGCTAACGTGACCTCGATCCACTCGGACACTAACTTCCCTTCTCAACCCCACCTTTTGAATTTTCCCTCTATTTTACCTACTATATCTACTACTAAACTTCTAATAATGCACCTTCTCATCAAAAGATGTCTTGGAATGTACGTGTTAAAGTTTTTTTTTCTTAGATTGGTTGAGCGTCGAGAAATTTATTTGCCGAGATAGCGTTGTTAAATTCAACTTAAATTCTGCTTTTACTCATTTTTATGCTCGATATTACGTTATTGTCAATTTCTTTACATTTCTCATGGATATTCTAACGATTGACATCGGGTGTAATCTCGCAATTCCGTTTCGTTCAATATTTTTTCTTTCGATAATGGCTTGAAATGGACCGGGGTCTTTGATATTAAATTCTATTTTTTCGTATTGTTGCATTTTAGAACGTTTTTTGAAAATCAACTTTCTCTTGAACCATATTTATGTCGGGTGGGACTGTTAGCTTTCCTCCACTATCTTCCTCCATTTCCAAAAAAGCCAAAAAAGGAAAAACACAATTTTTTTCTTCTTTCTTTCTTCAAAAATCGGTAAAATAAGGAATATATAAATTAAGTCAAAATTTCAGTTTTCTCCAGTTGTTATTGCTTGTTAAATTCTGTCGCTAGAGACACACACGTCCGCCTCGTACGAAGGTCAACACAAAACTGGATAAACGTAGATGTAAATGGCAGTGTCGATCTAGGGTTAAAAACGGAGGCTTGCATATAACTAGTTAATTTCTTGTTTGTATACGTTGTATATAAATTCACTATTTTTCGTGGTCCGCTTAACCAATTAATATCATTCAATTAATTAAGGTTTTTAGTTGAGATAGAAAAGTCAGTGTCACGAGCGGGATTCGAACCCACGACCTTCGGCTAGATACGCCGCTGCTCTACCACTTGATCTATCGTGACTTCGATCCACTCGGACACTAACGATCCCGCTCATGACACTGACTTTTTTATCTCAACTAAAAAACTTAATTAGCTTAATTAATTGGTCAACCGGACCACGTAAACTAGTGAATTTAATAAGTTAAAATAAAGTATATCTTCACTAAAGCTCTCCGTGGCCATTTCATTTGTCGCCGAGAATCAAATAGATTACACATTTGAAAATTGGCAAAAATGAGGGAAAATTCAAAAGGTGGGGTTGAGATGGGAAGTTAGTGTCCGTGTGGATCAAGGTCGCGATAGCTCAAGTGGTAGAGCAACGGCGTATCTAGCCGAAGGTCGTGGGTTCGAAACCCGCTCGTGACACTGACATTTTTATCTCAACTAAAAACCTTAATTAATTGAATTGTATATAAATTTTACTATTTATGTAGCTGGATCGTCCTGCTCCCCCTACGTCACTGGTTTTCCCTGTCAGAATGTTTTCGGTATATGTTTTTCTGAGCATTATTTCTTCCATAAAAGGGACAAGACAAAATAACAAACCCTCACGTGAAGAGGGCAAAAGGCCAGAAACCATTGTGAAAGGCGGACCGGCATCGGGGAAGGTGCTACAGGTCAGACAATCACAAACCCGCCATGATTTTTCACACTGTAATCGATTTATGTTATAATATTATGAAATGTAATTCTAAAAGTCATTTTTCGCTAATTATTTTTATCGAGTCTATTGGTCAATGAAAAATCACCAAGAGTGACTATCAAATAAGAAAGGTTTATACATAATAAAAGTTGAATAATTATTGGCTAATCCCTATTTCAGAATTGCTCGAGAAAACTAATTCATTCAACTACAAGCGAATCATCTTTTTTTATTTACAATTACTGCTTCGAAAGTACTTTGATAAATATTAGATTCATTTCCAACAAAACTCAATTGAGTTGGGTCGCCCTTTATCGCACATTTAATGGTCCTCCGGGCCGGTTTGTAGTTTATTGCATCTCATTATCAGCATGTTTATCAATTGTAAGATTGAATTTTCCATTTTAATGTTATTCTTTGCTTTTCTTAGGCGTGCATTTTAATTTTTTTATACAATAAATCAGTCGATTTATATTTAACGCCAGGGTAAGGAAGTAACGTGCAGAATTGCATTAATTGAAATTTTGAATATAAAATATAAAAACTAAAAGTTTCTTTCAAGAAAAATTAATATTATAAAAAGGCCATTCGAGTTCTTGTAAAGTACTGTTTAAACCCAATTAATACGAATTTCATATCAAATAAAAATATACAATTTGGTCTCGTACTCGTAAATATATTTTAAGAGATTTAAACAATTATTTTGTATATAAAATTCTGTCCTGCTTGTGAGTATGGCCTGGTTTTATATATAAGATTTATAAGGTTTTTATGCTATAAAATTTAGTCACGTGAATGAGCTATCGTGACCTAGGAACGATGAAAAAATGTTTTGAGTTATTTAATATCAAATGTAGTTTTCTGTCTCTGCTCTGCTACTAAATTAAAGTTATTATACATCGTTCAAATTGGTTAATATATAGCATAACAAAAATCTGCAGATATATATCGCATTAACAGATATTACATATAAAGAAATTTGCAAAAACTTAGCGATGCTTCCAGTAAAGTAAGGGAAAGAAATATATTTTCGTTCAAACCAAATACGCTTCCAAAAAAATAAGCCGACATTATTTCTATAATTATTTATTGCCCTAACGGCAAATAGCCATTAATCACGTTATTGTACGAACTAGACATTTCTGATAAGTATCTGAATTAGAGAAAAATAGTTTTAAAAAAACAGCAAAAAAGTGCGCCTTATCAAAGTAAAATTCAATTAACAATATTTAATTATTTGGTATTTTTTTAAAGAAAATAACTTTTATGCAGTTGTACGTAATGGTATAAACGTGCTGACTAAGGATAATGAGGAGTCAAAAATAACTATTATATATTAAATTTTATGTATAATTCACTACTTTCGTGGTCCGATTGACCAATTAATATCTTATAATTAATTAAGGTTTTTAGTTGAGATACAAAAGTGAAAAAATGGCAAAAAGGAGGGAAAATTCAAAAGGTGGGATTGAGATGAGAAGTTAGTGTCCGAGTGGATCGAGGTCACGATAGCTCAAGTGGTAGAGAAGCTGCGTATCTAGCCGAAGATAATGGGTTCGAATCCCGCTCGTGACACTGACTTTTTATCTCAACTAAAAACCTTAATTTATGTATAATGTAAAATTGAAATAAAAACTATCAATTCCTTTGTCACGCTTTCGATACTTCCTTTCATCAGGACACTGAAACTATTATTAATGATTTAAACATTTTAAACATAAACTCGAAACTATCCCTTCACAATAATAAATAAAAACAGTTTTGCTTTGAAGCGTGTGTATACAATTATATCAAAATATTTATTTTTTACATTTAGATTTAAATTATGATAAGACTATTTTATGAAATCGACATAAGCCGTATTAGAAAAAAAAATGAAATTTTGTGATATTAAAGAAGCAAAATAACAGTAACGAATGCTAGACATAAAACAAGGAAAAATGACGGGGAAAAGATGAAATCCTACTCAATAAAAAAGAAATTAAAAACCATAACCACACATGCTCTAAACGACAAATACCACGCAAAGATGGGACTATCAACAAATGACCAATGTTGCCTCAATAAATAAACAAAAATTTTCCATGAAAACCATTAGTAGAAGTTTAACATAAAAGATGAAAGTTCGCGCTTAATTCTTTTCGATACCAAATGATAAAAATACATATTGCAGAAAATGAAATTTAAAATATTCAAACGTATGGTTATAGTATTAAAAAATAATCCAGACTGCATCTCACGATTTCTGAATAATAATCTTAGCTTTAAGAAATGTTTATGAGTCTCAAACAACGTTATGTGTGATCAGTACTTTTATAAAAGTCAGTATCACGAGCGGGATTCGAACCCATGATCTTCGGCTTGATACGACGCTGCTCTATCACTTGAACTATTGGTAAAGCAGCGGCGTATCAAGCCGAAGATCGTGGGTTCGAATCCCGCTCGTGACACTGACTTTTTTATCTCAACTAAAAACCTAATTAATTGAAAGATATACATTGGTCAAGCGGACCACGAAAACTAGTGAACTTTTATAAAATTTGCATACTTGAATCGGTATAATTGAAATTGCTTGAACGTAGGTTTTAAATAACATAAAATTATCCAGCTTTGTTTCAGTAAAGTAAAACACTTGTTTGGTTTATGTTTACGCTTGTCAATTTTTTCATAATTTTAGTTCTAAATAGACCCTTCATTGTTTTAAAACATGATCATATTAAGCAAAAAATATTGGCTAGTTAGGACACACTAAAAAAAAATTCGTATGGGTATCACGCGACTTCTATCGACTGTGATTCCGTTAAAGTCTGTGGTTATAATGAGTTCGTGGTTGCAAGCCGTTTCGATCCTAGTTTCGACATCTATCGTAAACAGTCGGTAAAGATAGCGGAACAGACGGACTTGATTGTTTCTACTTATTATGTATACTAAAAGGCACCAATCGTTCAATTGTGAAAGCTTACCTGTTACACTAAGAAGAGACATCTTTGCCGATTTTCCTTTAGATCGCTTACTCCATATGTATTCCTGAAATTAAACAAAAAATCTGTAAAACCAGTACATATTATAGCAATTAAGCATAAATTGTAATTAGTCGTTAAATTTTATACAATTATGCGTTTGTAATAAAATTGGTTTGTCTACGATAGCTGTTTTTACATAAAGTGTTAGGCATATCGACTACCTTTTTACACACGAGTAATCTGAATCTCGGTATGGTTTGGATGAAACAACAAATTCATTTGTTATTCAAGCTTTCGATCAATCAGGTATCTATTTTAATCGGGGCAAAACAATCTTAAACTTCCATTGTAATATACTGCGTAAATTAATCATTATATGATTTACTCATGACTAATTCAATCATGATTAAACTTCAATCAAAATTCTTTATCATGATTGAATTAGTTAGATTTTGTCCAACTCTGGTCACCACCATGTTATTTTTGGTGTCACAAGTACATTACAATGGAAGTTTAAGATTGTTTTGCCCTGATTAAAATCTAACTAATTCACTCATGATTAAACTTCAATCAAAATTCTTTATCATGATTGAATTAGTTAGATTTTGTCCAACTCTGGTCACCACCACGTTATTTTTCGTGTCACAAGTATATCACAATGGAAGTTTAAGATTGTTTTGCCCTGATTAAAATCTAACTAATTCAATCAAAATTTTTAATCATGATTGAATTAGTTAGATTTTGTCCAACTCTGGTCACCACCATGTTATTTTCGGTGCCACAAGTATATCACAATGGAAGTTTAAGATTGTTTTGCTCTGATTCAAATCTAACTAATTCACTCATGATTAAACTTCAATCAAAATTCTTTATCATGATTGAATTAGTTAGATTTTGTCCAACTCTGGTCACCACCATGTTATTTTAGGTATCACAAGTATATCACAATGGAAGTTTAAGATTGTTTTGCTCTGATTCAAATCTAACTAATTCAATCATGATTAAACTTCAATCAAAATTCTTTATCATGATTGAATTAGTTAAATTTTGTCCAACTCTGGTCACCACCATGTTATTTTAGGTGTCACAAGTATATCACAATGGAAGTTTAAGATTGTTTTGCCCTGATTAAAATCTAACTAATTCAATCATGATTAAGAATTTGGATTGAAGTTTAATCATGACTTAATTAGACGCGTAAATTAATCATTATATGATTTACTCATGACTAATTCAATCATGATTAAACTTCAATCAAAGTTCTTAATCATGATAGATTTTGCCCAACTGTGGCTACAATGACGACCTTACCAAAATCCAATAGGTTACGGATAAAAATTTTGAGATGAGATTCGTGCTCAAGGCCAACCTTCAAAAAGTGTTATCATAAACGAAAACCAAAGTTACATAATTATTCTACAGATCTATTTTATCACAATCAAGACCCCTAGATGGTGTATTTTCCAAATAATGTAGAAATCTCTCCTTTCAAGTGGAATCAATTTTAATTCAAAGAAATATTTTTTCCATTGATCGATTTTACTTTTCAAAGCGTAGTTTGTTCTAGGATGTTTTTATTTTATTATTATTATTATCATTATTTTTTGCCTTTTCATAACGACGTAGTTTTACTTATAATTGGAAGATGTTTGATTTTGTTAAATAAGGTGTTGAAGGATTTTCCTTTTACTGAAATAAATTGCTGTTAGAATTTTTTTTTAAAATGATGAATTTGTGTATTTTTCATTTTATGAGCACCCATATGAACATGATTTATCGAACTTTAGTCATGACTAACTATATTATGACTAATTCACTAATTTCGTGGTCCGCTTGACCAACTAATATATTACAATTAATTAAGGTTTTTAGTTGAGATAAAAAAGTCAATGGCACGAAAGGGATTCGAACCCACAATCTTCGGCTTGATACGCCGCTGCTCTACCACTTGAGCTATCGTGACCTCGATCCACTCGGACACTAACTTCCCACCTCAACCGCACCTTTTGAATTTGGGATGGGAAGTTGGTGTCCTAGTGGATCGAGGTTAAGGATAGGCAATCCAATTTTCCTACAAGTATCCTCGCATACGTAAAGACTAAATATCAGAACTCGAAATAATGAAATAAAACCACATTTGAAAGAATTTGTAATATATCCTTAGGAGATTTTTATAATAGAAATATCATACGGCTGGCTTTTCAACATCCCAGCACCTACGTCCCAACAGTGCAACGTAAAACGTGAAAGTAGTCAGGTATTGACTTCTTTACCCTTTGAACTTATAGCCAACCAAAGAAACATAAATTTTTTATCGCCAATAAATTCATAACGCGAGCATTCCTACAGTAACAATAACGATAAACGACGTCAATCTAACCGTTGCGACCTTGCCCTTCATTTAATCGGATAATAACAATTCACGTTTTCGGTATTAGAAATATCGACTACATTTTCATCCACGCACGCTCTGTATCGAGATATAGTCTTGAAGAAAAAAGCAAATTCAGTTGTTAGTGCCAAGTTTTCGACCTATTTTAAAGTCATCAATATTACAAATATTCCACATTATGAAAAAACTATTTGAACAACTGAATTCATTAATTTTCGTCGTCCGCTTGACCAATTAATATCTTTCAATTTATTAAGGTTTTTAGTTGAGATAAAACAGTCAGTGTCACGAGCGGGATTCGAACCCACGATCTTAGGCTAGAAACGCCACTGCTCTACCACTTGAGCCATCGTGACTTCGATCCACCCGAACACTAACATCCCATCTCAACCCCACCTTTTTGAATTTTCCCTCCTTTTTGCCATTTTTCAAATGTATAATCTATTTGATTCTCGGCGACAAATGAAAAGGCCACGGACAGGTTTAGTGAAGATATACTTCATTGTAACTTATTAAATTCATTAATTTTCGTCGTCCGCTTGACCAATTAATATCTTTCAATTAATTAAGGATTTTAGGTGAGATAAAACAGTCAGTGTCACGAGCGGGATTCGAACCCACGATCTTAGGCTAGAAACGCCACTGCTCTACCATTTGAGCTATCGTGACCTCGATCTACTGGGACACTAATTTCCCGTCGTGAAAATTAATTTTTAGATTTCAATTAATTTTTTTCAATTTTTTATCTTAGTTAAATAAGTTAAATTTAAGAATTTAACAAGTTAAAATGAAGTATATCTTCTCTAAAGCTCTCTGTGGCCATTTGATTTGTCGCCGAGAATCAAATAGATTACACGATATTTTAAAAATGGCAAAAAGGAGGGGAAATTCAAAAAGGTGGGGTTGAGATGGGAAGTTAGTGTTGGATCAAGGGCACGAAAGCTCAAGTGGTAGAGCAGCGGAGTATCTAGACGAGGATCGTGGGTTCGAATCCCGCTCGTGACACTGACTTTTTTATCTCAACTAAAAACCTTAATTAATTTGTACAATTGATTTAACAATCAATATAGAACTTACAAAACAATCTGAAATATGTCTACAGGTTGACATATTTAATTTTTTTTACAGGCGATCCGAAATTTCTCTTAACTCAGTACTGTTACATTGCAAAGGTCTGTAACAGTATTGCAACCTTATTCTGGAGGTCCTATTGTCGTTATCAAAGACCTCTTTTTAAAATTAATAAGATAATAAAAAAATTGCCTAGTGTTACGACAAATTTATTAAAGACCTTACACTTAGATTTGTTCATTCATTTCTTTGGAGGAGTATTTTATTGCTACTCAATATTACTTAATGTTTTTCGACTATATAACTGTATACTCTTAACTACTATCACTCAGGACAAAACACTGGCAATCAAATATCATATTGCCACCACTATAAAGAAGGTCACACGAAAGGCAAAAAGGAGGGAAAATTCAAGAGGTGGGGTTGAGATGGGAAGTTAGTGTCGGAGCGGATCTAAGTCACGATAGCTCAAGTGGTAGAGTAGCGGCATATCTAGCCGAAGTTCGTGGGTTCGAATCCCGCTCGTGACACTGACTTTTTTATCTGAGGTAAAAATTTTAATTAATTAAATGATATTAATTGGTCAAGCGGACTAAAACTAGTGAATTTGACTGTGAATATGAATCATATGTTCTTATCGTTAACTTATCATATAGTAAAATACTTTCTATTCTTCTTCTATCAAATATTTTTATCGATTTGATCTTTAACCAACTCTTTATGGTAAAACGATAGTAAAGTTCCAAATGTGTCCGATAAGGAAGGAAAGATTGCTTGACGTCTCGCTCATGCTTGGACGATACGTTAGCTTCAGCACGAATGCCATTCGATAAGAGAACTGTCGTTGAACACGACAGGGAATATTTATGACCCTTCCGAATTTTCAATTGACAGTTTTATTATCTATACAATCAATACATATCTCGTTTTGTGTTTCTTTCTGTACATAGAGAGTGAATGTACTTATTACCGTAAATGTGAAATCTGAAAAGGCTGATGACGAAATATTTTGTAACCAATTGATTCTCAATTAGATTAGTTTAATCTGGCGTATAGAAACTATTTATCGATGTGTCCAATCTAATTGAAGGGTGCAATTCTTGGCTCCGTACAGACAGCGAGAAGGAATACCCCCCTCGATATGAGAATCGTTTTTGAGCAGGATAGGGGTTGAGCAGGTATTTGGGTCAGCTGTTTTCATACTTGGTATACTTGGAGTATACAGGGTTGTTTTATTGTATATGGTAGTATTAGTTTTCTGTCCCCTAATATTGAGATTGAATATATTTACTAGCGTGAATATCTAGTGTGAGTGGGCCTATGGCAAATATTGAATACCCCATCAACCCTCAATTAGGTTAGTTATTTTATACTAATACGTCCTATAAATATAAAGGATGATCGAGGAAGTTCGAGTACTTCTGAGTGAATTGTAAATAGGAAAGAATGTATTTAAGCGAGAGGGAGAGGGTTTGGATTTAAAAACTAACGGCGTTATATTATCGGCCGGTAATTTATTGTACATTGCAAAAGATACAATTGCTGATGAACCACAAAAAGTGAGCGGTGGTGAACCGCGTGTTCGTGCTTGAGCAGATTTG